TCACCACCCGGTCCAAATTTTTTTTTTTATGTGGGGGTGCACACCCGGGTGTGCACCAATCAAGATCCGAAACAAGAAGAACCAGTAGACATTTTTAGGGATTTCTTGAAAATTAAACGAACAAACAAAAGGAAAAGATAATACATGCGAAAGAAAGAAAAGATGGAAAGAAAAAGAAAGAGGAAGCGGCGATATGGAGTATAAAACTCAAGATCTGGGAACATTAGCGGTGGCTCCCATCTTAGGGAACAGAAATCTTCATCCTTAGGGTGAGGTGGAATGCATCGTCCAACATGAATGTTCCTGCTTTCAAATTAAATTTCTTTGACATAATTATGTCATTTCTCATTCTCCAACTTGCATACCACAACTGATCCCCTCTAGAAGCGAAAATTTGCAAGTTTGGCCATTCCAAAAACATGGTCACTGTGCCGATGCTTGGGGTTCTATCGGTGATGTTAAAAGGTATGAATAAGGGTAAGAGAGAGGGACAAAGGTTGATTCCAAAGAGGACTGGGGTCACAGGAAGAGATGAAGAGCACCTGGACCTAGGGCGATTTCCCAATTTTTAATGGAATCTTGAGGGATTTCAACATAAGGTATTCTAGACAAGCTACATATTGGCGAACCCCTATGACAAAAATATATTTCAAAAACTTAATTGGGGTGTGTAGCTGGGTGTTTTAGTCTAAAATGTGCACATATCATTTCCCTTACCATATAGTAGATATATACGCAATTGAAGTGGGTTATATGTTAATTTGAATTTTACTATGTTAGAGTATCGTTTGTGCTCTCATTAGGGAAATTTTTTATTTATGGATAAAAAACATGTTTAATTGCTTATTTAGTAAAAGAAAAAGAAAAAGAAAAAGAAAAATTTTGCTAACAACCTAAGTGGTTAATTTATTAATAATCTTATTTTTGTTAGATTAAAATGTCTTGATTTTGAGTTGTAGGTATATGAGTAAAGTAGTCAAACAAATAAAAAGGATGTGATTTTTCTATTATGCAGCCTAAAATATAAAAAGAAAAGGAGTACGAATTTGAATAGTCTTTACTATATGATCCTATTTGAGTAATCTTAATTAA